AATACCAGATTGATGCATGGGGTGACAGAGCAAGCTCCTATTCCAAGTCCCTGCTCCCAAAATTATTTAATATATTGTTCTCAAAGGATTGCTCAGGCTGGGCTCAGTGGCTCAGCCTGTAATCCCGTGCCTTTGGGAGGCTGAGGTGAGTGGATTGCCTGAGCCCATGGGTTCAAGACCAGCCCAGGCTAGGCGTGGTAACTCACATCTGTAGTTCTGGCTACTTGGAAGGCTGAGGCAGAAGGATCGCCAGAGTCCAGCAGGCCAAGGCTGCAGGGGCCAGGAGCGCGCCCCTGCACTCCATCCTGGGTGACAGAGTGAGACTCCAACTCAAAAAAAAATAAAAAGGGCCATTGCCTTGCTAGACTCTGGTGTGGCCTGTGCTCCTTGAGCTATGGCTGTCACCATGGTTCCTGACTTTGGTCCCCTCCCCCACTTTGGAGAGATGAATCTTCTCTCCCTTCTCTTTCTCTGATTTACTTTTAAATAAACTACATTTTTAAATCAATCAATCAGTCAAAATAAAACTAGTGGAATTAGATCAATATGGCATACGGTGTGGTAGATATGTCAGGGGAAGCAATTAATGAATGCAGAAGTAGAGGTCAGCATATAGGAGAATTATGATATGGCCAAAGCTGACATTCAATGCAATGAGAATACATTACGATTTTTTTTTTTTTTTTTTTTTTTTTTGAGTTGGAGTCTCACTCTGTCACCCGGACTGGAGTGCACTGGCCACTCCCGGCCACCGCAGCCTCGACCTGCTGGGCTCCGGCAATCCTTCCGCCTCAGCCTTCCAAGTAGCTGGAACTACAGGCGCGCACTACCATGCCCGGCTAATTTTTTGATTTATTGTAGAGATGAGGTCTCGCCAAGTTGCCCAGATGGGTCTCGAACCTGCAGGCTCAGGCAATCCATTCACCTCAGCCTCCCAAAGTGCCGGGATTACAGGCTGAGCCACCGAGCCCAGCTACATTACGAATTTTTAATTGTGGAGCCAAGGCCTTACCAAGTTGCCCGGGCTGATCTCAAATCCCTGGCTGAGGCAATCCTCTCACCTCCACTTCCCAAAGTGCTGGGATTACAGGCATGAGCCACCACATCTGGCTAAATACTAGTTTTTGTTTTTGAGTCGGAGTCTCACTCTGTCACCCAGGCTGTGGTACACAGGCATGCTCACAGCCACCACAGCTTTGACCTGTTGGACTCGGGTGATCCTTCTGCCTCAGCCTTCCAAGTAGCTGGAACTACAGGTTCATGCCACCATGCCTGGCTAACTTTTTTTTTTTTTTGAGTTGACGTCTCACTCTGTCACCCAGACTGGAATGCAGTGGCACGCTTCCGGCCACCACAGCCTCGACTTGCTGGACTCCGGTGATCCTTCCACCTCCGCCTTCCAAGTAGCTGGAACTCCAGGTGCGCGCTACCACGCCCGGCTAATTTTTTGATTTATTGTAGAGATGAAGTCTCACCAAGTTGCCCAGGCGGGTCTCGAACCCACGGGCTCAGGCAATTCACTCACCTCAGCCTCCCAAGGCGAGGGATTACAGGCTGAACCACCGAACCTGGGTAACTTTTTTTTTAATTGTAGAGCTATCTCCCCAAGCTGCCCAGGCTGGTTTTGAACTCTTGGCCTCAGGCTGTCCTCTCACTTCAGCCTTTCAAAGTGCTGGGATTACAGGTGAGAGCTACCACGTCCAGCTCTGGC